CGAGGTAATGCCCTGTGACAAATCATATTTTATTAATTTTAATTAGCGTCTTGCAGCAGAGTCATCGTGATAGTGTGCTTCTTTCCGGCGCAAAACTATTACCTCTTCAACACGATACACTTATATAATCACTTTTGTCACACCCGTTTAAAAAACCTAGCACTGGCATAAAGCATTCGTGTAATCATTTTCAGCCAGAGGAAGTACTATTTTGAGATCACTTGGAGCTTTGTAGAGGATGTGCCCATTTTTTGATCGGATTTGAACTCGGTAGCCATCAATGCCAACAATTGTATTAACAGCTTTGCTCCAGCGCGCGGCCTCTTTTTCAAACGATTGCTTCTTCAGACGATACAGAACATTGCTTCCAATGTCCAACTCGTTGTCGATTCTGTCGGCTCCCTCTTGATTAGCTAGCTCAGATTCCACAACATTATCTTTAGCCCCGCTTGGCTTCATTCCAATTGAACGGTGCTAAGTATTGTTGTAATTAGATATAGCATCAGTGATTAACTTTTGTGTGAGCCCCTTTGGAGACATTTTTGTAAGTCTCTGTTTGACAGTTCTGTTGAAACGTTGAATTTTTCCCATTGTACCGTGATCACCTGGTTCATTATTGTAGTGCTCAATCATTTTGGATTGGAAGAGCCTTTGAACATCCTGATTCATGAATTTGGCGCCATTGTCACTCGTAAGAACATCGACCATGTGCAAACGTACCAATGTTTTAAAAGCAGCCAACACAGTTGGTGCTTGTTTATTAGCTAAGATCTATGCGTAGCCAATGCGTGAGTTGATATTGATAGTAGTTAGTATTGTTTTTTTTTCCAGAATGCAAGATCCATTTGCTATGAGCTAGAATTGTGTGAGGCGATTCTGAACCCATCAAACTTCTGTTTTTGCTCCTGAAATCGCTGGATGTCAGTCTGGCTTGCATACCAATTCTTGACTGTTTTAAGCGTTACATTTGGATCTAGCTCCTGCGCTTTCTCATACAGAGCTTGGGCTCCGATATAGCCTGTTTTGGGGTTGTAGTAGAGTTTTGCTAGGAAATCATCCATCAC